CTAGAAGAAAACAAGCAGTAAGGTCTTTGACATTGGTCTTAGTGAATACACACACACACACACACACACACACACACTGGATCTGTCTCCTCGCGCGAGGACAACAAAAATGAACAAACTGGGACTGCATCAGACTAAAAAGCTTTTGTACAGCAAAGGAAACCACTAACAGGACAAAAAGACAGCCTACTGAAGGGGAGAAGATATTTATAATTGATATATCTGATAAGGGGTTAACATCCAAAATATATAAAGAAGACATAAAACTCAATATCTCCCTCCCCCCGCCAAAAAAAAAAAAAACAAACCCAATCTGATTTTAAAAATGGGCAGAGGACCTGAGTAGACATTTTCCCAAAGAAGACATGCGGATGGCCAACAGGCACATGAAAGGATGCTGGACATCACTCATCATCAGGGAAATGAAAATCGAAACTACAATGAGATAACATCTCACACCTGTCAGGATGACTACTGTCAAAAAGACAAAAAATAACCTGTGTCAGTGAGGATGTGGGGAAAGGGGAACCCTTGTGCACTGTTTTTTGTTTGGCTTGATTTTTTGTTTTTTGTTTTTTTTCCCCCTTGGAGATTTTGGGAAAACCTTTTATTTTTATTTTTTTTATTAGAGTGTAGTTGACACACAATGTTACATTAGTTTCAGGTATACAACATGGTGATTCAACATCTCTCTCTGTAATGCTCACCGCAAGTGTAGCTACCATGGGTCAGCATACAGTGCTGTTACAATATCATTGACTATATTCCCTGTGCTGTGCCTTTCATTCGCATGACATATGCATTACATCACTGGAAGTCTGTATCTCCCACTCCCCTACACCCGTTTTGCCCATCCCCCACCCCCTCCCCTCGTGCAACCATCAGTTTGTGCTCTGTATTTGCAGGTCTGATTCTGCTGCTTGTTTGTTTATTCATTTGTTTTGTTTTTTAGATTCCACACATGAGTGAAATTATATGGTGGTTTTCTTTCTCAGTCTGACTTACTTCACTTAACATAATACCTTCTAGTTCCATCCATGTTGTCACAAACGGCACGATCTCATCCTTTTTATGGTTGTGTAATAGTCCATTGTGTGTATATATGTGCGTGTGTGCGTGTGTGCGCGCGCGCATGTGCGTGTGTGTACCCCACATCTCCCTTATCCATTTGTCTATTGATGGACACTTGGGTTGCTTCCATAGCTTGGCTATTGTAAATAATGCTGCAATAAACACAGGGGTGCACACATCTTTTCAAATTAGTGTTTTCTTTGTCCTTGGGTAAATACCAGTAGTGGAATAATTGGATCATATGGTAGTTCTATTTTTAATACCCTTGTGCACTGTTGGTGGGAATGTAAATTGGTGCAGCCACTATGGAAAACAGTATGGAGGGTCCTCAAAAAACTAAAAATAGAAATACCATGTGATCCAGCAATCTCCCTTCTAGGTATTTATCAAAAAGTAAAAAATAAAAACACAAATTCAAAAAGGAATATGCACCCCTATGCTCATCCAGCATTATTTACAATAGCTGAGCCATAGAAGCAACCTAAATGTCCATCGATAGATAAATGGATAACGAAGATATGTTGTATATACAATGAAATATTACTCAGCCACACAAAGAAAGGACATGTTGCCATTTGTGACAACATGGATGGATCTAGAGGGTATCATGCTAAGTGAAATAAATCAGACAGAGAAAGACTAATACCGTGTGACTTTACTTACATGTGGAATCTAAAACAAAAAAAACAAAACAAAATAGAAACAGACTCATAGATACAGGGAACAAACTGATGGTTGCCAGGGGGGTAAGAGGGTGGAGGGGAGTTATGAATGAAATAGGCGAAGACGATTGAGAGGTACAAACTTCCAGCTATAAAATAAATAAGATACAGGGATGTAATGTACAGCATAGGGAATATATAGTCAATAATACTGTAATGACTTTGTATGGTGACAGATGGTAGCGAGACTTACTGTGGTGACCATTTTGTAATGTATACAATTGTTGAATCTCTATGTTCTACACCTGAAACGAATACAATATTGTATGTCAATTATTCTCCAATTAAAAAAAAAAAATCAGAAGAAAAAAAAAGAAGCAGCAGATGGGAGCAAAAGCAGACTTAATGTAGTATGTCATCTCATTCTTTGAATTCCTTCCATGAGGTCAGCCAACAATCGCACAACAATCTCTCATCAAAAACTGTTTTTGAGGACCTATCAATCAGCTGACAACTCAATTAAGTCCTTTTGGAAACCACCTGGACTGCAAAAGGATGGGTCCTCCACTCATTAGGGTCCTTTGTTTCACAATTTCTGAGAAATAAGCCAAAGAGCCTTTGCAAAGACATGGCTATAAATTCTATCTCTTACTCTTTCACCTAGAAAAGTGACTACTACTTTGTTTCATCGGATTTGCTTGGAAAGGTCTGGGCACACTGAGAATTAATTTAAATACGTTTTTGATAATAATTAGTTCTTGATAAAAATGCTCTTACCTTATGCATGTTTTCCACATATTGGTACTAAAACTTTGAAGTTGCAGATCTAGCTCATTCAACGTATGGGAAATATATGCCCTGGAACTTTACTGGAGATCATCATTGTCACGCCAGTGAGGCACATCGGCCTTAATTTCTGTCAGAACAGCCTGACCTTTTTTCTTTCCCCCAAATTAAGTAATTGTGTTAATATGCAATTGGAAGAACTTTAAAAAAAAAAAATTTTTTTTTTCTTTATTTGAGGGAGAGAGAGCGCGCACAGGCAGGGGGAGCTGTAAGGAGCCTGACACGGGGCTCGATCCCACGACCCTGGGATCGTGGACCTGAGCTGAAGGCAGACGCTTCACCGACTGAGCCACCCAGGCGCCCCTGGAAGAATATTTTTTAAGCCACCAAGAAATACATGATAGGATACATCTTTGAATATAGATACTAATAACGTCTTCAATACCGAGATTTAAATGCTATAGAGGTAACATATTTTATCCATTTTCTAATCAATTGTAAAACTGGGTAACAAGGCTGTTTCTCATCACCTAGTATATTATAAACCTATGTGATCTGTAACTAAAATTTTACGTTATCCAATAAGGCATTTTAACAGAAAGCATGACATGCATCCTTGCATCCTTGCATGTTTGTTACTCTAGTTTTGGTCTTTGGGGAATAAATAAATCACAGTCATGTAAACCTCAGGAATAAATTCACTGATTTTATTAGGCATTATGGTCAACCTTTCCTCATGTCCTTAAGAAAGAGAAATGCATATACTGCTAAAAATTGTTTTGTTAGCTGGCCTTTAGTTTATTTAAAAGAGGTGGAAAATATAAGATATTTTGTCAGATAAACTACGGTAATGATATTTGGAGTGTCTCTTGATTTAATTTGGTAAAAATAGTTTCTAACTATTTTAAGAAGCTAATTTATCTCAAAAAATCTTGTGAACTTTTTATTTGTTGGTATTATTAAGTGTATCTTGAATATATGGTAGCATCAGAAAATACTCCAGATATAAATTAAAATAGTCCAAATAATCTGGAAATGATGATTATTCTAACCTGATTCAGTTATTTGTGCCTTTCCCTTGCAGGCACAAGCATCAAGAATAACTGTTAAAAAAAATTATTATGGGGAGTCTGTTTTTCAGAAAGTATAAGTTATGTAATAATATTGTGGTACATTAGACTTCAAATCATCAAGACAGGCTAAAATACTGATGTTTTGGAACCATGCATCGTTCCCAGCAGAAATTAGTGTGTGTAAGGTAGGAAAATTCAAGTCTTAAAGAATTTCTTGATGATTTGATTAACTCACTGATGGAGGGTTTTTCTAAACTATAATTGGTGGTATTCCTTTATTTTTCCAGCTCACTGGGGTTTTTAAATATTGGGATAATTCACTTCAGTTATCAGTATGAATATTTCAGGATGAATAATGAGTATGCTTTCCTTCGTAAAGTTCAAGAAAGCAATTGTGGAGATGGACAGCATGGATGAACAGAGCATCAGGTCTTAAGCACCTGAATGTGGAAATTAAACATAGAACTTCCCCCACCCTAACCCTTGGAAAGTGTGCACATCCCCAGAGGCACACAAACCTCTTTTTTGTAGACCTCTCAGTTGGACTATGGGGGTATGTAAGGGAGTGTAGAAAAGTAAACGAATTTGATAGTTTGAAGGTAAAATGAACATAATTTTGGGCTGGATTCGATAGTGTCTGGGGGTGTTGGAGGAGATTATTGGTGTAACTGGTATTTGCCCTTCACCTTTGCCTGGCTAAATTGTATTGTTCCTTTTAGCAGTGCTTTGATACAAGCAGGTGGTCCATAGACCCAGAACCTAATCCGGCTCCGTGGAGTCGAGGCCTGGGTATGTCAGGCATTTCTCTGGTTGGAAGTCCCCTACTGCGTGCGTCCCACCTCTACTGTTGCTGTGCGCGAGGGATTGGCTACCCTTTCCAGTAGCTGCCCGCATCCTTGCACCTGGACTCACTGCTCTGTTAAGTGCTAATTCCCCAAGGGCGGGGCCTGTGCCTGTCTGGGTTCTCTGCTCTCCTGAGCCTGGGCTAGTGTCTGACCCATGGAAGGCGCTCAGCCCATAGCTGTGGCAGAGGTTAATCTTCACGACGACCTCACTGTCCCCTGTAGTCCGCTGGAACACCCAAGTGCCTGTCCTATAACCACACTGGCGCCTTCCCTGCCAGGACACCCATGGCTGCAGGTGTGTTAGCAGGCAGCCGGGCCGAGGAAGCCAGAGCCGGCTCAGCGGGCACTAGCTCATCACCGAGGTCCTCGTCCTTGAGGTCCTAGCGGCGGATGCAGTCGCCACGGCAGCGGCCTCCTCGCGAGCCGCTTACGGAGGGGCGGTGCCCGCGTAGAGCCCGCCTGCGTCTGGGCTGCGGACTACAACTTCCAGGATCCTTCGGGAGCGCTGCAGTGCCTCCGTGTACCCCCGGGGGCCAGGGGTGGTTAACAGCCCTTTCCGAGGAGCGCGCGGCGGGAGACGCTGTGACTCCAGAAACGCGGCGGCGGGCCCTGGAGCAGCTTGGGAGGGGGCGGGGCCGCCGGGCGCATGCGCCCTGTGTGCCTGCGGCCGGCGTGGCGGCCTTTCCGAGCGGGCGCCTTGGCGGTGGTCGGGTGGCTTCGGTGGCCTGTGGGACCGAGTTGCCGTGGTGACGGCCGGGCGTTGCCGCGTGTGACACCTGGATGAGAGCTTGCTGGAGGAGGCTGGCGAGGCTGAGCGCCGGAGGTAAGCTGGTGCGCGGACCGACTGCACTGCCCACGGGGTCGCCCCTCTGCCCCAGTGCTTGGAACCCAAAGGGCTCGGTGCTGGAGCCCACTCCTCCGATGGGAAGGAAGAGTGACAGTAGGGGCAGAGAGGCGAGCCCCTCAGGCTGCGGCTGTAGGATGGGTCAGCCCTTCCCCAGAGTGAGGCAGGAGAAGGGTTGGGAGGAGGGGAGAACTCCAAGACGGGATGTTTGGTGCACGGGAGGCATCCTTTGCCTTGGAGATGTCAGGCAGCCACCATTCCCTAGGGGGCACCGCTGTCCAGTAGAAACATGATGCGAGCTGCATGTGTGCCCAAGTTAAAAGAAAGTGGTGAAATTAACTTTGACAGTGTCTTTGATTTAACCCACTACATCCAAAAGTAGTATTTCAGCGTGTGATCCGTGTAAGAAGTTATCAGTGAGATATTTTACATTCTTTTTTCCTTCACTAACTCTTCAAAATCCAGTGTGTATTTGAACTGTACAGCACATCTCAAGTCACACTCAGCGCACAGACACTTAATGACTGCACAGCTGCCCGCCTGGACAGCACAGCCCCAGAGTGTTCTCTTGGCTGCCCCCTCAATGGGGCTGGGTATAGAGGAGTAACTCAGATGTCCTCTACTGCTGGTGTAAACCCGGCCTTGCCAAGGTTTCTGCCACTTAGGCATTCAGTCATTCCTTTTATTTCGTTCTGGGTTCCACTTAGCAAAGCACTGCCGTGTCTTTTATCTCATTTTGAACTGCAGTGCCTGTAAGGCGGGTAGGATAGGCGATAACGTGATTTCACAGGTGAGGAGCACCCAGTTTTTACCTTAGCTTGCTGCAGGACGGGGCCAGAGTCTCTCATGCTTTCTTCCTCCTCCTCCAGTACTACTTTCCCAAGACTCTGCTCTTATCCCAAAAGGATGACCCAGAAGAATAGGGAAAGATTGGGCTCCTCACAGTCTATTTAGAAGTGAGTTGGGATTTCTTTCTCCTTTCTGAAAGGCTCCCTCAATTCTTACGTAGAGAGTGTATCATCCCCCCTGCCCTGCAGTTTCTCTCCTGAGCCACTTGCCTTCAGGAGGTTGGGCCTCAAACTCCTCACAGATTGCCCGTTTTGGAAGAAGATGGAACTCATAGGACACCCTTCTGCAGTTTTCTCCTCTCCACCCACCATTTGATCATTCATCACACCTTTGAGATCTACTCTGTGCCTCAAACTTCTCTATTATGCCACATGCAAGACCCAGTCCTGGGCATGAAGGGACTTAGGGCCTGTTAGGGGGGAGAGAACAGGACAAGATCTGATTATGCAATGATGAAATAATAAGAAACTGCATGATTAACCTCCCATATCACAAGTTTAAACAGGAAGTACTATGGGGAACAAAAGAAGGAGAAATTTCAGCTGCCTTTGGAGACCTAGAAATGACAGTCAGGCAGTTTCCAGGCTAGAGAAGAGTATGACAAAGGCTCAGGGACAGAAATGAACGGTTTTTTCAAGGACTAGTGAGAAGACAGGCTAGAGGAGAAGGTATGTCAGGGCACAAATCTAGGTTTCTACATAAGTATAAGCCCAGATGGTGTTTACACTCTTTTAAAAAATTATTGTGGCAAAATATATATAACATAGAAGTTACCGTTCTAGCCATTTTTAAGTGTACAGCTCAGTTGCATTAAGCACATTCACATTGTTGCCCAACCATCACCACAATCCATCCCCAGAACTTTTTCATCTTCCCAAACTGAATCTCTGTCCCCATTAAACACTAACTCCACATCTCCCTCCCACCCCCAGCCCCTGGTAACCACCATTTGACTCTCAGTCTCTGTGACCTTGCTCTACTAAGTGGAATCTATAGTATGTGTCCTTTTGTGTCTGGCTTCTTTCGCTCAACATGATGTCCTCAAGGTAGGCGTGTACATGCTTGGCAGTCAGCTTCACTGGACCTTACTGTGTATGCATTAGGAAGCAGGGAAAATAAGTTTAGAATGAAGACTGCCATGTTGCAGGCAGTATTTTAGGGCAAGCCTAGAGGGCATTTGGAGGAGGGAAGACCCAAAGTGACCTGATGTGGTTTTGTGTGTATGTGTGTAGTTTGGGGTTGTTGTTGTTTTTTTGTTTGTTTGTTTGTTTGGTTTGGTTTTTGTTTTGTTTTGTTTAGCTCAGAAGGCTGGCAAAATTACAGCCCTTGTATGACCTAAATGAGCAACTATTAGTGGGCCTCAGGAAGCCCTCCAAGAATCTGTTGTTTTACACGTAAGAAGGGTTTCAAAGATCTAAGTTACAGTACTTTGCCAATGTGTAAAAGGAAAAAAAAAAGCCCCCACTTTTTCTGGGACAGTTAGCTCAAGTAGTCACTCATGGATTCCTGCAGGGTTTCCTGTGGTCCACTAAGGAGGGACAACCTGGTCAGGCCTGGGTGGAGACCTGGAGGAAATGCTTGGTTTTTGGTGCCAGCTAGTTGTTTTCACTGGATGCAAGAAAGCAAGCAGAAGAGAGTTTATCTTTTATTGTATTAGCCACAATAAAGAAGATATTTATTTACTGTGATTTTAGGTCAATTTTAAAATTAAGAAATTTAGGTCAATTTTCGAAGTGGCCAATTTTTTTAAAGATTTTTATTTATTTACACGAGTTGGGGGAGGGGCAGAGGGCGAGAGAATCTTAAGCAGACTCCCTGCTGAGCACAGAGCCCAATGCGGGTCTCCATCTCACGACCCTGAGATCACGACCTGAGCTGAAACCAAGAGTCGGACAGTCAACCGACTGAGCCACCCAGGCGCAAATTTTTCAACATTCCACATTGCATATAAATTCAGATATACAAATCTAATATCAGTGCGACTCTTTTCAAGACCAGGGAAGTGGATTTAGAGCAAAAAATAAATGAATAGATTTCAAGTTTTATCTCCATTCTTGTGTTGGGCATATGAATTGGCACAAGACTTTCAGACATTTTGAGATTTAAATAAAGCTAGTGCTTTCCGTAATTTAGGCTCATTTGTTAAACATGATTTACATACCTGAGACAGTTTGAGAGAGATGCAGCTTAAAGGAATCCGCTCTTTCACGGATTTGAGAATAATCGGTTCAGTTGCATTTTATGGGCCAGTCAGAGCATAAACCGTTTTAGTCTTTGTGGTCCCCATCATGTAAAATTGTGTTGTTTGCATTTAGAATGTGATGTAGGGGCATCAGTCCATCCAGTGCTTCAGCTATCTGAGCCAAGATGTCCGGCCTCTGGCTGCTTCTCAGGGAACTGTCATGTATTTTCATTCTCTTATTTGTAAAAAATTGATTATAGAGTTTAATGATTGCTTTTTTGGCATTTCAAGATCTTTCTGTACTGTTTTTAAAAAATCTTGCTTTTAGTATTTTATCTTTCTAAAAATTACGTGAAAAATTATTACAGTTGACTTTTGAGACTTTAATCCTAATCCTTAAATTTTTTAAACTGGACTTCAGATCACGTTAATGGCTATGGGGCGGGGGAGGACATTTAGGAATCCATCAAACTAATTCCTTTTTAATTTACAGTCAAAAGAAATTGCTTTAACATTATTATAACAACATTAAGAAATACAGAAGTCGTCAGGAAAGCACCCATGATCCCACTGTTCAATATGATCAACTTTCATGTGTCTGTGTTCCCTTTCAGGTTGCTCAGAAATACACACAGGCTCTCATTGACTCTGTCACTTACATGCTAGGTGCTAGGCAAGTTCTAGAACCACTCTGAATGTATTTCTGTTATGAAAGGGTTTAAGAGGTATATACCTCACAGGGTTGTTGGGAAGGTTTCATGGTACCCAGAGCCAGTCCATTCTAGTCCCTGACCCTCCTTTTAAAGGCAGCACTCTTGGTTGTGTCTTTGGAGCAGAGGCCTTCTGCTCCTTCTAGTTGTTGTGACGTGGTTCAGACCATTCCCTCCTACTGTTAGCTCAAAACTCTTCTCTTCCATGATGGTGTCTGGGGTAAGTCCAGCCCACTCTGCCCTTTCACTTGAATAATTGTCCCCAAGGGAGATTCTTTACCTTAAAGCCTCCTATCATTTGGTATACTATTGCTTGCTGGTTTTTTTTAATTAGTAAAAAATATGTTATAGCAACACTAACATATTTCTTCTTGTAGAAGAGAAGAAACTGTTTATAATTCTATTACTCAACAACACTTATCTCATATTTGTGCATTCCCTTCTAATCTTTGTCCATTTGTGTATCTATTTTTGTCATCATATCACCTTTTCCACTTATGCGTGTAATTATGAGGTTCTAGATGTTTTAAATCCTCTAGGAGACAGTGAGGGTGTTTTTAAGATCAGATGGTAATTACCTTTGAACTTGAATGTGTTTGAAAGCAACCACAAAAGCACTGGAAACTTAAATGAGCATAACATACGCATTCAGAGAACAGTGAAAAGGACTGTTTTCCTGGAGTGTGGAGTCTATGTGGGCAGGAGTAGGAGGAGATGAGACCAGACAGGTACATCAGGTCCAGGTTGACAAAGGCCTAGAATATCACCTGAAGGAATGTGGTTTCATCTTAGAAGGAGTGCTTGCAGAGGATTTTTAAAAAGAAGCGTGCTGTGCCTCGGTTTGCATTTCAAATGGCCGCTCTGGTTTAGACGATGGAATGGTAGAACGTGAGGTTAGAGGTGGCAGGAAATCCAGTTATAAGACAGTTGCAGTAATCCAGCAGAAGGTTTGGCAGAGTGGCGATCCCTCTCTGCAAAGCAATAGTAGATGAAGGGACTTAACTGCTGTTATAAGGACTTCCAATGCCATGGGCCAAAGGTGTGAAGTGTCCCATCCAAGTCTCACGCTCCCTTAAAGACCACGTCCTTCATAAATCCACTCTCAGTCATCCATCATCACCACCCCCACCTCTCTTCCTTCTCCTGTTGTTCCAGCAGGCCTTATGCTCTCTAAAATAAAACTAGTCATTTGACTTTGTACTCAGGGCTTTTGTTCTCAAATTGTTTTAATTATTCACTTGACAAGAATTTATTGAGCAGACAGAGAGCTGGGGCTGGAAGGGATTGGAATTGGGAGTCCTCAGCATACACCAAGGGGCAAATCAAGCCAGTTCCTTGCTGCTGAATTTCCCATCTTACCATGCCCAGCATGTAGGGGCTCATTGGAGTCTGCCTGAACGCTTTTCTTTCCTGATTAAACGACTTTCTTCTCAAAAGAGATGTGTCTACTCTTTTTTGTAGTTTCCACGGAGTAAAGCACTCAGACACATACTAGGTACTCAGTAAGCATTGGACTTGGAGCAGAGGAGACCTTCCTGTCCATCTTCCTACAATGCTACCAATTCCAGCCTTCCCCAAGGAGGCTTAGGGTAAGTAGGAATGGTTTGGGTCTTTTAGGAGTCTATGATATTTACAGATGTGCCCTCAGACTTCTGCCAGGAAAGTAGGAGTTAGCTGGACCTTGCTCAGAGGGATGTAGGTAAGGAAGGGACACTGGTGAAATAATAGGACACTGATCTCCCTGGGTAAGGACAGCGTACCTTCTGTGGACCCTGTAGGCTAAAGATGGAGAGCCAGGGCTCAGATTTGTGTTTTCTTGGGAACCAAAAACTGATAGTTTCTGTTTCTTTTTCCTTTTGCAAGCCCAGTTGCAAATGGAGTTGTTGATAAACTTCCTTATGCTGCTTCAGAGACTTTGGTCTCTCTGTCCTCTGATCCTCTAGGTCAGACTCCACTGGAGATGTGACCAGATTTCCATTCTATCTGGGAAGGCAAAGCCAGTTGTTCCTTGCAGTGGAGAATTTCCCACTCCCTCTGCCACACCCATCCTCCTTCCTTTCCTCCAGTCCTTCTTAGAAGTCAGATTGGGCCCTGTGGAGATATTCTTGGTACCCCTCTGTGGGGTGTCCTAGAATACCGTTTCCTCCTGAAGGCCAAGTGATTAGAATGGATCTCTGGGACACCATTGTGTACCCAGCACAAATAGCTAAGTCCCCTTTATTTTTCAAAAATCAGGGATTCCAATTTCCAAACCAGACATGATTTCCCAGTTACAGACAGCAGAGGAACCATGGATGCTGTAAAGAGAAGTGCCATGAGGTTTCTGTCCAGGTGAGTGAGTGAAAGCCAGGTAAGTTGATATCCTTCTGGTCAACAAAAGACTGCATGGCCTTTTTCAGTTCCTAGTAGTGAGAGCAGTTTTATGTTTATTTTGTATCCCCCATGGGAGGTACGCATACCTGATCCATTCACAGAAAGTGAAAACTGACCATTTGGAGGCCCTGGATTGAAATAGAGTTTGCAATTCTAGTTCTGAGAAGAAAAATGAGTATTTTAAGAATTCTAAATGTTGTGTGGTGTTTTTGTTGTCCTCTGCTACCTAGTTAGATTCAGCATTCATAATTATGTGTGAGATGTCCCCAATTGCATTCTCCCTCACAGGACATTTACATTCCAGTCCAAAGAATACCATATTTAATAATGGCAACTTGACCCCCAAGAAAGCAGTGGGAGGAGGGTGACAAAGGAAACTATTTGTTGCATTTTGTGTTTTTTTTAAAAGACATTCATTCAGGGGCGCCTGGGTGGCTCAGTTGGTTAAGCGACTGCCTTCGGCTCAGGTCATGATCCTGGAGTCCCGGGATCGAGTCCCACATCAGGCTCCCTGCTCAGCAGGGAGTCTGCTTCTCCCTCTGACCCTCATGATCTCTCTATCTCATTCTCTCTCTCAAATAAATAAATAAAATCTTTAAAATATATATATTATAAAAAAAAAAAGACATTCATTCATTTGACAAAAGATTTTTTTTACCCAATCAGATTTGCCTATGACAAAGATAATACATTGCTCATTCTAGAAATTAAAAAAAAAAAAGAGACATAAAGAAAAAAACACAAATGTCTTGAAATCCTACCTCCCAGAAACAATCATTATCTACCTTTGTATAAGCATTCTTCTAGTCCCTTTCTTTCTGCACAACTGCATGTGGAGATGTGGCTACTCTGACGTACCTGCTGTGACCCTCTACCTGGTATTTTGCCTTCAATAATGTGTTTTGGACAGCTTTCCATGCAGTACATATACGGGTGTATATGGAAATTCATCCCCTTTAATGATTGCATAGCGTTCCACTTTACCAGCATGTCATAATCTATCTACCCCAATCCACAATTGATAAGGAGGTTGTTTCCAGGTTTTCATTATTCTGTACAACACCAAAATCAAACAAGCTTATACTACATCTTTGTAGACTTGTCAGGCTAGCTCCTATGGATAAATTCCTTGCAGGGGTATTGATGGGACAAATGGTGAAGTTCAAGTCATCTAAAATACATTATTTCCCTGAAACAACTAATACATTATATGTTAATAAATAAATAAAAAGAAAACTGAAAATGTCAGTTCAAATCAAGGGAACAGTTAGATTTTAATGCACTTCAAATTATCTATTACAATTTGAAGGCAGTTACTCAAATTAAGAGGCTATTTGCTTTTTTGTTATATTTCTGTTTATTATGTTATCATTTTATTAGCTTTTAAAATAATTTCCTATTAAAGTTAAATAATGACCCCCAAAATAAAAAATAAATAAAATAAAATACATTATTTCCTTTAAACTTAACAACAGTCCTGGAACATTTTTAACCAAATGCAAAATATAGTTGATTTGGTCTTAAATAACATTTTCTAAATAGTTCTCCAGGCCTGTGAGGAAGATTGATGATGCTGGGATGTGGGCGTTCCCTTTAACTTCCTCATTTTCACCCAAGTCTCTAGTTTCTTGTTTTTAATTCTTCTGGGCCTCCCTGACAGATTTATGACTTTCTCCATTTTAGAACTGAGCTCCTTAGTATTCACTCTTTGTATTTCAGGCCATGTCCAATCAGTATGCAGGTACTGGCAACAAATGATAACAATAGCAAACACTTGTAGAGCATTTACAGTGTGCAGACATGCAGTTATTAGTACTTTTCTATAGCTTAGTTCATCGTACAGATAGCCTTAGGTACCAGTTGCCATCATCCTCATTTCACCGATGAAGAAATGGAGGCCCTAAAAGACTTAAGTAATTTGTCCAAATTCACACAGCAAATATGTGGTTGAGCCAGGAGTAAGACCTGTGCGGTTGGCTCCAGGGGCTTCCAGGTGCATTTAAGGCAGTGCACCTTCCCTTCCCAGTTCACAAAGCTGGTAGACACAGGTGCTCCATGCCCCAGCTAGCCAACTTCCGCGAGCTGCCAATGGTGTCCCCTCCTCCCCCTCCATCTCAGTTGAATTAAGATGTGGCACTTACCTGTGTTCACTTGGTAGGACATATGCCTCTTCTTGTTTGTGAATGAACCCTCCAGGGCTGATATATGATCCTGCTTTCTACATCTCTTTCCCCTCCCTACTGATCAAAGCCGAGTTCAACCCCACTCATTCCAGAACAAAGGTGCCTTCTGGTTCCCTATTCAAGGCAGTGGGCAGTTTTGCATAGGAGCTCAATTCTTTCATGCAGTTCAAACTTCAGGGCTGGAGGAAACTGGGATTTCTCCCCTCCTGGTTTGTAAATAATGTCCCTTGTTGGCAGAGTTTCTTTCTTTCTTTCTTTTTTTTTTTTAAGATTTTATTTATTTATTTGAAAGAGAGAATGAGATAGAGAGAGCATGAGAGGGGGGAGGGTCAGAGGGAGAAGCAGACTCCCTGCTGAGCAGGGAGCCCGATGCGGGACTCGATCCCGGGACTCCAGGATCATGACCTGAGCCGAAGGCAGTTGCTTAACCAACTGAGCCACCCAGGCGCCCGGCAGAGTTTCTTTTAATCATAAAAATATGATGTGTTGGTTGCAGAAAAAGATTTAACAGGCAGAAAAGTATAAAGGAGCGAATAAAATCACTTGTTAGAGAAAAGCACTATTAATGTTTTAGTGTATTTACTTCCATTTTTTATGCACACATGTAAGTATATATGTACTTAGAGTTATATATTAACTACATACAGATTATGGTCATGTACTTGTATATGGATTTTTAAAAATATTTTATTTACTGATTTATTTGAGAGAGAGAGAGAACACAAGTGGGGGGCGGGGAAGGGCAGAGGGAGAGGGAGAAGCACATTCCCCGCTGAGCAGGGAGCCTGCTGTGGGACTCGATCCCAGGACCCTGGGATCATGACCTGAGCCGAAGGCAGACATTTAATTGACTGAGCCACCCAGGCACCCCTACTATACTGACTTTTGTTTAGTTTTATATCATAACCATTTTTACAAATCATTAAAAATTCTTCAAAAGCATGATCTTCGATGACTGAGCATTTCATCATCTAGATATATAATTTAATCATTTCTCTGTTGTGGGAAATTTTAATTTTTCCCTTTTTATAGTGATTACTCACACTGTTATGAGCATCCTTGCATCGAAATGTTTCTCCACAGCTCTGGTGTTTTTTTTTTTTCCTTCTAGAATAACTAGAAAACATGAATTTTCAAGGTACTTGATTTGTGTTATGAATTACTTATCAAAAAGCTTTCCAGTTTACATTCTTGCAGCGGTATATGAGAATGTGTATGTCACCACACCCTGCCAGCATGTACTATAGTTTTTAAAAATCCCTGCCAATTTGAAAAAGGCAAAACAGTTTTAATTTTGAACTTTTTTCAAGTGTTTGTTGGCCATTTCTTATTTTATACCCCTGTTCCTCCAGGTTCCCCTCTTAATGACGGGATCTGGGGAACCATAGACCATTAATCTGAACATCTAGACTGTCTTACTCCTTCTAGTTTCCTCTTTGAAGCGTGCCCTTCTGCTTGCACTCTGGAGCCCATCCTAGTTCCTCCTCCTACTCTTGCCCCCATAATTATTACATCTTCTCTCTCTTCAGTAACTTCATCCTTTCCTCTTGAAGTCATGCCTGCTCTGCCTTCCATCAGAATCAGAACTTCATGCTCACTCCTATTATCTTTTCTAATATGAAGTGTGTCTCCTGAATTTGTGAAAATCCTCTAGTGCGAACTCAGCATGTGACCCCTGCCCCTTAGAGAGATCCCCATTGGCTGGCCCTCACTGTTGTTCTCTTATGCCTCTCTGCCATGTTGGACAGTGCAGATTTTCTTTCTTTCTTTTTCTTTTTTTTTTAAGATTTTATTTATTTATTTGACAGAGAGAGACACAGCGAGAGCGGGAACACAAGCAGGGGGAGTGGGAGAGGGAGAAGCAGGCTTCCCACGGAACAGGGAGCCCGATGCGGGGCTTGATGCCAGGACCCTGGGATCATGACCTGAGCCGAAGGCACATGCTTAACAACTGAGCCACCCAGGCGCCCCCAGTGCAGATTTTCTTAAAAACATTTGTTTTCTCACCATGTGCTACGCTCTTGACAGCTTTGCCTACTACTGGGCCTCTTCCAAATGCTCCTTGGTTCCTTTCCCTTCAGCAACTGTGCCTTTCACATAGCTGCTACTCATTTGGTTTACTTTTTTTTTTTTTAATTTTATTATGTTATGTCAGTCACCATACAATACATCATTTGTTTTTGATGTGTTGATCCACGATCCATTGTTTTCGTATAACACCCAGTGCTCCATGCAGTACGTGCCCTCCTTAATACCCATCACCGGGCTAACCAATCCCCCCTCCCCGCTAAAACTCTGTTTGTTTCTCAGAGTCCATAGTCTCTCATGGTTCATCTCTCCCTCCGATTCCCCCCCCCATTTTTCCCTTCCTTCTCCTAGTGTCCTCCATGCTATTCCTTATGTTCCACAAATAAGTGAAACCATATGATAGTTGACTTTCTCTGCTTGACCTCTTTCACTTAGCATAATCTCCTCCAGTCCCATCCGTGTGGATGTAAAAGTTGGGTATTCATCCTTTCCGATGGCTGAGTAATACTCCATTTGTATATATGGACCACATCTTCTTTATCCATTCATCTGTTGAAGGGCATCTTGGCTCTTTCCACAGTTTGGCTATGGCGGACATTGCTGCTATGAACATTGGGGTGCATATGGCCCTTCTTTTCACTACGTCTGTGTCTTTGGGGTAAATACCCAGGAGTGCAATTGCTGGGTCATAGGGTAGCTCTATTTTTAAGTTTTTGAGGAACCTCCACACTGTTTTCCAAAGTGGCT